GCTTTAACTACAAGCCCCCTCCGTCTGTTCACTTCAAGCCAAGCCCTCACTTCCCCCTCCACCCTCCCCCCTCTCGCCCCCCTCCCTGCCCCCCTGAATCATCCTCATCCCCATCCCGACTCAGCATTAAGCCCTCCACCAACGGCCGCTGCGAACACCACCACCACGACCACCACCACAACAACAACTACCACCACAACCACCACCACCACCACAACCACACAACCACCACCACAACAACTACCACCACAACCACCACCACAACAACTACCACCACAACCACCATTACCACAACCACCACCACTACAACCACCACCACAACCACCACCACAACCACCACCACAACAACTACCACCACAACCACCACCACAACAACTACCACCACAACCACCACACACAACTACCACCACAACCACCACCACCACAACAACCACCACAACAACTACCACCACAACCACCACCACAACAACTACCACCACAACCACCACCACCACAACCACCACCAAACGCTCCCTGCCCTTATGCACCACACGCAAAGACGAGGCATTATGTAACACGATTTTTGTTCCTGGGTATTAAGTGTTATTTTCTAATTGCTTATGCCTCTAAAGTATAGAAAATTACTAATATTCCCCACAAACTTTGCTTTTGTGACGAGGACTTTACTTGAAGGAATGACACAAATGTACACGTTTTCTCATTGAAAATAGGTAAATTTCAAAATATCACAGACACACACACAGACACACAGATACACACACACAGATACATACACACACATACAGACACACACACAGACACACACAGACACACATAGACACACACACAGACACACATGACAAAGATCCCCCATATAGCCTTAGCAGACTGTAGGGGCAAGTGTTGTTAGACAACACACAGACACACGCAGACACAGATACATACACACAGATACATACACACACACAGACACACACAGACACAGACACACATAGACACACACACACACAAACACACAAGACAAAGATCCCCCATATAGCCGTAGCAGACTGTAGGGGCAAGTGCTGTTAGACACACACACAGACACACATACACAGACACACACAGGCACACACAGACACACACACAGACACACACAGGCACACACAGACACACACACAGACACACAGACACACACAGACACACACACATACACACCGACACACAGACACATACACACAGACACACACACAGACACACAGACACACACAGACACACACACAGACACATACACACAGACACACACACAGACACACACAGACACACACAGGCACACACAGACACACACACAGACACACACAGGCACACACAGACACACACAGGCACACACAGACACACACAGACACCACAGACACACACACAGACACACCGACACACAGACACACAGACACACACAGACACACACAGACACATACACACAGACACACACACAGACACACAGACACACACACAGACACACACATACACACCGACACACACACAGACACACACACCGACACACACACACATACACACCGACACACACACAGCAGCGACGAAGGCGATCATCGCCACTTCCCGGCAGGTCGATGCCCCACGTCACCGTCGCAAAACGTCTCACGAGTTCTCACCCCGGTGGCACGAAAACTTCGACGGTTGAAACGTGAAAAAAAATTAACCCGTAAAAACAAAGTTTTTAACTCTAAATCCTTTATATGCCGTGGGCGGCTAGAGTCCTCTCGTCCTCTGGCTTGAGATGGCTGCCACCTATGGATCAGATGATTGTCTGCCAGCATTAAGCAATTGGTAAATAAATATTTATTTATTTATTTTCCCCTAAACAGTGTAATTAATTGTCACGCACAACGAGTCTGTGTGGAAAATGTCAGCTCGATTGGATCACGGGAAGTGGGTTAAAAACGACCGAAAGATTTGCACGGTCGTAAGCAAGCAAGCAAGCACGCAAGCACGCAAGCAAGCAAGCGAACTTAATATAAAGGATTTAAAAACAAAACTCCTCGTGGGCCTATCGGACGAACTGTTCCGAATAATTCCTATAACGCTCTTCTAATTCACGGTTTTGTTGCTGCTGTTGTTGTTGTAAGCATCGCTAGGGTGTCATCAACGCGATCCGTCACGTTACCGTGCTCGAGGAGAACGCTTCGGTCAGAGAGAGTTGTGTTAAGCAACTCGACTGGGACGTCTGTGGAAAAAAAGCCACATCGCTCATCGGATTCCTCCATACATATAACACATTGTCCTGCGGAGGGAGCTGGTAGGAACGTTGGGTTGCTCGGTCAATGGCCAGGGTCAACGGCGGCGTGGTGTATTCCGCAGATATGGCCGACTGTGAGGGCGGGCACAAGCCGGCGTGAGTAGGTTAAACGTTGAGTTTTAAAAAGGCACCGCGGGGTGACCAGCCCCTCCCCAACCCAGCCCCCACCCCTCCCACCCCCACCCCAGCCCCACCCTCCCCACCCTCCCCTCCCCACCCAGCCCCTCCCTCGCCAACCCAGCCCCTCCTGCACGACGGACGGACGGACACAATAATCCTTGTGGGCTGGTGGAACCAGGTGGTTCCTATCAGTATTTTATGTTTTTATTTTGAACTTGGAAGTTCGCAAGAGCACACGAGGAGGGACTTAATGGTTGCTGTTCGTGCGTTTCCATCTCCCATGCTGAGAACTCGTTGCGGTTACACCAATCGATACCTCTTGACTCGTGAAGTAGCAAGTCCATCATCTTCATCATCACCTCGCTCGCTCGCTCTCTCTCTCTCTGATTTCCCTCTCCTCTCTTTCTCTCCCATCCCTCACACTCCCATCGCTCTGCTCCGAACCCTCTCCCCCTTTGTCTTTAATCTCTCACCATTCCCCCCTATTTTCTCACTCTCCCCACTCTCCACCCTCTCCACCTCCCACCAACATCCGTCTCTAATCCCCCCCCCCCTCTCTTGTTTTTACGAGCAGAAGAAACAAGAAGATGCTCGGTGTAGTCGGCACTTTGCTTCGTTCATCATTTCGTTTATTTTTTCAATGTTTTGCTTTGTGTGCCCCCCCCCTTTTTTAAATGAAATATTTCACAAAAAATGTCACGCTCTGCTCTCCTCCTTCTTACATCTTCTCTCTCTACCCCCCTCTCTCTCTGCCCCCTTCTCTCTCTGTACCCCCTCTCTACCCCATGTCTATGTTCTATATAATTTTACTACGACAAGTGCTGCATCTGCACCCAGCCCCTCTCGCAGTCCTACGGCCTCCGACGGTAGCTCTCCCTCGCCACCACTCCCTCTCTCATCCATCTCCCCCCTCCTCCTCCTCCTCTCCTCCCTCACCTCGCTCACTTCCCCTCCCTCCCCACAGCTCCCTCCCTCATTCCCCTCTAGCCCCGCTCTCCTACCTCCCCCTGCCTCTCACCTCTCCCCGCTTTCCTCTCCCCTACCGCACCCCTCCTCCTCCCTCCCCTCTCTCTCTCGCGCGCGGCGGGTCCGTGATGTGAATCTCTAAATGGCGCTTCGTGGCCGCATGAATGGAGGCGCGCGGTGTTGAATGAATCACGCGCCGCCGGTCTGTGAATGGGGCCAGTTCGTCACAAAGACAAATGTACCCCGTGTAGCCGTAAGGGGCTTTTGGGGCAAGTGCTTTTAGCAAGTACCTCGGAATACCGGCATGGGCACACGAGGGTGGCCAGCGCCACGCCCGGCCGCCTTTGTCTTTCTAGTGGCGACGTTCATACACCGCGCCAGGTACTCATTTGAAGCTGAGTTAAACTTGGGGATGCCCGTTTCAGATAATCGTCACCGGTGTTGAGCGCGAGCGGGAATCGAACTCAGGTCGCAGTGTTTGTAGCGCAGCGCGCTAACCGCTTCACTTACCGGCTCACCATAAAAGACAAAGACAGAGATCCCCGTGTAGCTTTAACAGACTGTAGGGGCAAGTGCTGTTAGCGAGCACCTATGAAGCCTGGCACGGCACACGAGGGGGTGGGTGGCCAGCACCACGCCCGGCCGCCTTTGTCTTCCTAGTCGCGATGTTTACACACGCGCCAGGTAGTCATTTGAGGCTGAGTCGACCTAGGGGAGACCCAGGACCGGTTCAAATAATCGTCACCGGTGCTGGGCCGTGAGCTGGAATCGAACTCGGGTCGCCGGGTTCGTAGCGCGGCGCGTTAACCGCTACACCACTGCTCCTCATATACAAAGACAAAAATCCCCTGTATAGCCTTACCAGACTGTTGGGGCAAGTGCTGTTAGCGAGCATCTACACACTAGACGCACACACACACATACACATGCACACGCACAATCACGTGTTGTTCTGGGCGTCTGTCGGTAGTGACCGATCAAACACGCACTACGGTACGTATATCTATCCGCAGCGCCCTAAGCCCTCGACATGCTAACGTGGAATGTCCACGACGGCTGTGAATATAAATTAAGCAAACCACCCGGATCTACATGTTAATCGTCGTTCGTGCGTCCATCTGTTTGCCCATCGATGTAACTTACCCGACTGTTATATTCTCTCTGCCCGTACGTACACGTGCACCGCTGGATGAGTCCGATTCCAGCTCATGGCCAACACCAGTGACGTTAATCTGACAATTTGGTAAAACTGGAAGAAAATAACTGTAATAATAATAAAGTCAGCATAAATTTGTATTTAAAGCTTCTTTCGTGACTGCACGGATTCATATTCTTGGTTCTTTCGGTAAAGTCACGTAGAAGGAAAATAATACAATAATAAAAATATAAAAAATAAAAATTCTCACGACGTTTCGACTGCAACACAAGCAATCATCATCATCATCATCAGGTGTGAAATCTACGGCAAGAATTTTTTTTCATATTTTCTTGCTGTGGATTTCACAGAGTCGCTAAATCGATGCTGCTTCCCGCGTAAGCCGAGCGCCGTTGTGACGTCACACGCATCTCCCACGTGGAGCAGGTGACGCGTGACGAACGCCGTTGTGACGTCACACGCATCTCCCACGTGGAGCAGGTGACGCGTGACGAACGCCTTTGTGACGTCACACGCATCTCCCATGTGGAGCAGGCGACGCGTGACGAACGCCATTGTGATGTCACACGCATCTCCCTCGTGGAGCAGGTGACGCGTGACGAACGCCGTTGTGACGTCACACGCATCTCCCACGTGGAGCAGGTGACGCGTGACGAACGCCTTTGTGACGTCACACGCATCTCCCACGTGGAGCAGGTGACGCGAGACGAACGCCTTTGTGACGTCACACGCATCTCCCACGTGGAGCAGGTGACGCGAGACGAACGCCGTTGTGACGTCACGCGCATCTCCCACGTGGAGCAGGTGACGCGAGACGAACGCCTTTGTGACGTCACACGCATCTCCCGCGTGGAGCAGGTGACGCGTGACGAACGCCTTTGTGACGTCACACGCATCTCCCACGTGGAGCAGGTGACGCGAGACGAACGCCGTTGTGACGTCACACGCATCTCCCACGTGGAGCAGGCGACGCATGACGAACGCCGTTGTGACGTCACACGCATCTCCCACGTGGAGCAGGTGACGCGAGACGAACGCCGTTGTGACGTCACACGCATCTCCCACGTGGAGCAGGTGACGCGGGAACGAACGCCCTTTGTGACGTCACACGCATCTCCCACGTGGAGCAGGCGACGCGTGACGAACGCCTTTGTGACGTCACGCGCATCTCCCACGTGGAGCAGTGTGACGCGGGACGAACGCCGTTTGTGACGTCACGCGCATCTCCACGTGGAGCAGGTGACGAGTGATAAACGCCTTTGTGACGTCACACGCATCTCCCACGTGGAGCAGGCGACGCGGGACGAACGCCTTTGTGACGTCACAACGCATCCTCCCACGTGGAGCAGGCGACGCGTGACGAACCGCCGTTGTGGACGTCACACGCATCTCCCACGTGGAGACAGTGACGCGAGACGAACGCCGTTGTGACGTCACACGCATCTCCCACGTGGAGCAGGCGACGCGTGACGAACTCCATTGTGACGTCACACGCGTCTCCCACGTGGAGAAGGTGACGCGTGACGAACGCCGTTGTGACGTCCACACGCATCTCCCACGTGGAGCAGGTGACGCGTGACGAACGCTTTTGTGACGTCACACGCATCTCCCACGTGGAGCAGGCGACGCGTGACGAACGCCTTTGTGACGTCACCGCGCATCTCCCACGTGGAGGCAGGGTGAACGCGTGACGAACGCCTTGTGACGTCACGCGCATCTCCCACGTGGAGCAGGCGACGCGAGACGAGTTGGTAGCTGACCCCTTCAAGGGTCTGGGAGGTTGTAGGCGTTGAGGACCATCCATCCCTCTCCTGATTGTGTTCCTTACGAGGTGACAACGGTCGTGACGAGGCGAAAGCAGATGTCCCCCGTGTTGACTGTGCAGATGTCCTCAATAAGCCTCTGCGTCTGGCATTGATGATTCGTTTCGTCCTCCTGTATTTCCACACCGCAGCTCAAGTCTCCCGTAAATCACGTGACGTCTCTGTGGGACCACCGCCGCCACTCTGATCCCTTACTCCGCTCGCATTCATATCCGTCTATCTCCTTGTCCAAATCAGCCCAGGCCTCCCGTAACTCACGTGACTTCTCTGCATTTCTCTGAATCTCTCCCCTCATCACCGAAAGCCTCCGTGTAGCTCACTACTCGTGCCCCCTCCGTCCTTCTCTCTTGTGCCTCTCTTCCCTCCCCTCTCCATCATCATCATCACCACCACCACCACCACCACCGCCCCCCTCGATCGCGAGCGGGAATCGAAGTCGGGTCGCTCGCTGCGTCCGTAGCACCGACTGCAAAAACCGCCGCACTACCGATCCTCCATATACCTCGTCCAAAGTGGGGAGCGGTGGCGCAGTGGTTAGCGCGCTGTGCTAGGAACCCAGCGACCGGTCCTAGGCCTCCCCCTTATGTCGACTCAGCCTCAAACGAGTACCTGGTGCGATGCGTAAACATCGCCACTTGAGCGTGGTGCTGGCCACCCACCTCCCTCGCTTTCCTTGCCGGCCGTCGTAGATGGTGCTTCTCGCTCACAGCCCTTGGCCCAACAGTCTCTTAAAGGCCTCACGGTAGATCTTTGAAAAAAAATATTTTCCACACTACAAACAACAACAACAACCGCCATTCGCCACTAAGTAGCAGTGACGTCACCACGACGCTTGTGCCAGGGCTATGTGCACCTTGAGGCCATGTGAAGTTTCGAACGCCCGCTGGCAGGAGATCACGGGGCAGACCCAGCAGGTGCCACAGGTCGATTGACTGAGATGACTGGGATGACTGGCTGATGCACCACCTGTGCCCTCTACTGTGCCAAATTGCCGTGCTTTAGCCACCCCGGCGCTCCGCTCGTTGTGTGAGCGTCGCTCCTCTTACATCACACTTGCACACACACACAAGTCAGCAAATGGAATGTGCTGATGATGGCGATGATAATACTCAGCCAATACTACGGGGATGCCTCTAATTAGATGTAATTACGGGAGAAAAATAACACACTCACAGCGGCGCCTCATCCAGTTGAAGAGTTGGGGTTTTAGTTTTTTTCTTTAAACAAAAAATATTGTCATTTTTGTAAAATCCCCAGTCGCTGAGATTAACTCTAATGATGTCAAATCATTATCATCACCACCATCGGCTGTCATTTTCAAATAAGCATCATCATCACCAGCCGTAATACAGGTTTTTTGGGGTTAGATCGCATAAATATATAAATGTGTCGTGATTATGATCATCATCATGATGTTGATCATCACCATTGGCTATCATTGTCAAATAATCATCATCATCATCATCACCGGCTGTCATTGTCACAATCATCATCATCATCGGTTGTCATCAAATAATCATCATCATCATCATCGGCTGTCACTGTCACAATTATCATCATCACATCGGTTGTCATTACCAAATCATCATCATCATCATCGGCTGTCACTGTCACAATTATCATCATCATCATCATCGGTTGTCATTATCAAAATCATCATCATCATCATCATCGGCTGTCATTGTCAAATAATCAAAGGCGGTCGGGCGGGCGTGTGTTGGCCACCCCACCCGCCCGAGCGGCGTTCCGGCTTTCAACAGGTTGCTCGCTAACACCACTTGCCCCTACAGTCTTTGTCTGCTACCCGCTGGGTGGACAGAGGCGGCGTTGGAGTTGTAGAGGGGGGGGGGGGGCGCGATGGTGCGGACAGCAGCTCAGACAACTTGCACTTCGACAGCCTGCCGCGCTCGGAGATCGATCAAACATCGAGCGGGCGAACCTCGGCATTGTTGAAATCTCGTGCGCTCACCCCACCACCACCGCCACCAACTAACAGCGTACGTCACGCGGCTGCAAGCGATGAGTTGAACAAGAGCGAAGGAGAGGTGGCGAAGAGAGACGGGAAGGTGTAGTCGTCGACTGGGCATCCCCTAGGTCGACTCGGCCTCAAATGAGTACCTGGCGCGGTGTGTAAACATCGCCACTAGGAAGACAAAGGCGGTCGGGGCGTGGTGCTGTGCCGGGCTTCATAGGTGCTCGCTAACAGCACTTGCCCCAACAGTCTGTTGAGGCTACACGGGGGATCTTTGTCTTGTTTGTTCTGCACGGGTGGGGAAGAACAGTGGGGGGGGGGGGGGGTGGAGATATAAAGAGGGACGGGCGGGGTGATCCTCGGCTCTCGACCAATGAGCGTCAGCCCCGGTGGGCGCGGCTCTGGGGAGCCAATAGGATCGCTTGTGGGCGGGGCATCGTCTTTATTTAAACCCACACCCGGGAGCAGTGCTCCACAGTTCGTTAGCGGGCAGAGGAGAGACAGCGCAGAGAGAGAGAGGGGGAAAGAGCTACACGGGGAGAGAAGGAATCCACTGGGATATATACACATACGGGGAGAGGTACAGAGAGAGAGAGAGAGACGAAGACACCGACAGACACGAGAAGCGAGAGCGAGGAGGAGACAGACGGGGAGAGAGGTATTAACATCGGGAAATCAAAACACGTGGAGATAGATAAACACGCAGAGAGAGGGAGACGGGGGAAGAGACATATAACCAGAGATAATAGGAGTGGGGTCGTTGCGATTGCATAGACCAGCGCACATCAGGAGCGTACGCAAAATCATCATCAGCAGCAGCAGCAAGAACAGTAGCAGTGGTAGCATCACATGCAGTAACGGCAAAAATCATCATCATCAGCAGCAACGGCAGCAGCAGCAACTAGAGCAACGAAAAAAAATCATCAACGGCAGCAGCAAGTGGAACGCGAGACTCGCAGACACAATCAATCAACGGCCACGCGGTTCATCATGTCTTCTCTGATGATCTCCCTCCATCTCATGCTGCTGCTACTGCTGCTACTCGTCACGTCAATCAGCTCGCAGCAACAGCAGCATCAACAGCAGCAACAACAGCAGCAGCAGCACGACCTCGGCCACTCGCGTTTCGTGTGCACCGCCATCCCCGCCGACGTGGACGCGGCGTGCCCGCTGCCCGCGTTGTCGGGACTCTCGTCGGGCGCGAGCGACGAGGCGCGCACAGGGGTCCTGGAGCTTCGCGAGACGGTGCTGCGCCAGAAAGAGACCATTCTCGAGCAACGGGAGAGCATCAGGGACCTCACCACCAAACTCCAGCGATGTGAAGGCACGGACACGCTCGCTTCCCTCGTCGTCGTCGTCCAAGCACATGCACGCGCGCCTCCCCGGAGCGAAACAGGCGCCGGGCAAGTGGCGAGACACGATGGCGACCTGCCCCGTGACCCGGGGAGGTGATCGAGCAGCTGGGCAGGACGGTGCAGTCGCTCAAGGATCGGTTGGAGAGTCTGGAGGTGAGTGGAGGACACGGCGCGGGAGGGTTGGTGGTGGTGGAAGTGGTAGGTGATGGTGGTTGTGGGTGAGGTGTGTCGGACGGGCGCGCGTGGGGTGAGCGAGTGATGGCGTGGTATGTGTTAGGAGTGGGGAGCGGTGGCGCAGCGGTTAGCGCTACGCTGCGCTACGAACCTGGCGGACCCCGGGGTTCGATTCCCGCTCACGGCCAACACCGGTGACGATTATCCGAACTGGTCCTGGGCCTCCGCTAGGTCGACTCGGCCTCAAATGAGTACCCGGTGCGGTGTCTAAACGCCACTACTAGGGAGACAAAGGCGGCCGGGCGTGGTATTGGCCACCCCACCCCCTCGTGTGCCGTGTCGGCCTTCATAGGTGCTACTCGCTAACGGCACTTGCCCCACACAGTCTGTTAAGGCTAGACGGGACATCTTTGTCTTTGGCGCAGTGGTTAGCGTGCTGCGCTACGAACCCGGCGACCCGAGTGACGATCCATGATCTGAACCGGTCCTGGGTTCTCCTCGGCGTCCAATGAGTACCTGCTGCGGTGTGTAGTAAACATCGCCACTGGGGAGACAAAGGCGGCCGGGCGTGGTGCTCGCCACTCACCCCCTCGTGTGCCGTGCCGGCCTTAACGGGCGTTCGCTAACACCAACTTGCCCCAACAGTCTGACGAGGCTACATGGGGGTTTGTTGTCTTTTGTGGGGGGTGAGGGCGGGTGGGGGGCGGCGGGGGGGGAGAGCGGTGGCGCAGTGGTTGGTGCAATGCGCTACGACCCCAGCGACCCGAGCGCTGTTCCCCGCTCACGGCTCGACACGAGGAGCCTCGACGAGGTCGACCCGAAGACCGACGGTCGTGTGCGGACGTCGGCACTTGGTGGAAAGACAAAGGCGCTCGGGCGACCACACCGACCCCACCAATCGGCCTTAATAGGTGCTCGCTAACAATCGCTGGAGTCCAACAAGTCGGGGCGGGGGGGGAGGGGCCGCTCTTTGTGCTTGTGGACGTGTGGGCGAATGGTCGTCCCTCGGGGGGGGGGGGGTGGTTTGGGGGGGCGGTGGTTTGGGGAGGTGGGGGGGCTGCAGTGGCGTGAGAGGGGCAATTGCAGCCCTGCGCCTTTACCCCCCCCTCCCTCTCCACCGTCGTTGTCTCGTTACGAGATAAAAACAAAAGGGAGCCCCCCCCCCAAGCCCCCCCCCAAGCCTTCTGAGACCGTTCGCAATCACCGTGGCGCGAGCCCGCGCCGTCCTAATTGGGCAGTAACGTGGCAGCACCACCTCGCCAACAGCACTTGCCCCAACAGTGTGTTGGAGGCTACACGGGGGATCTTTGTCTTCGTTGGATCTGTGTGTGTGCGTGTCTCTAAATAAGGAGTTAACGGGCGCGGATTGTTATAAAATTAGCACTGGGGAGACAAAGGCGGCCCGGCGTTGCGCTGACAACATCCTCCCGCTCGCTAACGGCACTTGCCCCAACCGTCTGTTGAAGGCTACACGGGGGATCTTTGTCTTTGTTCCTGGGTAGCTGGGAGCGGCAGCGTTGCCGGCTTAGCGCGCTGCGCGTAAAAAAAACAAACTCCGGCCAGCCGCAGTTCGATTCCAGCTCGCGATGACCTGGAGCGGCCCTGGGCCTCCCCCTAGGTCGACTTAGCCTCAAATGAGTAACCCGCCACCGAGGGAGACAAAGGCGCTCGCGCGTCGTTCTGGACCACTCACCCAAACCTCGTGCTCGCTCGCAGCGCTTGGCACCCAACATTGGGCTACAAACTCAGGGCCAAGGCTGAGTGGCGAGTGATGTGTAAACCTGCAAAGGCTTTCCCATAAGTCGTTCACAGCCTTGGCCGAATGCCTGGCGCGGTGTTTAAAAATACATATCCATAAGCACCGGGGAGACAAAGGCGGCTGGGTGTGTGCAGTTCTGGCCACACCGCTCTCTCGCATGTCACGCTGCTCGCTGCGCCTGCTGAAGATGAATCTGATAGCGACGCTGATGATGATGCATCTGCTGATGGCGATGATCATTTTGGCCGATCGTGATATCCTCGGCCACGGATTATCCCGTTTTTAATCGCGAATACAAGCTTTGATTCAAGATCATCACGAAATAAAACTCGGGTTCGGGATCGGACGTAGATTGCCTTCCCTCCTCGAGCGCTGAGCGAGTGTTGCGGCATTGAAGCTTCCCCTCCTGTTCTACACAGCCCCGCAAAACGTGATCGGTGGAAATTCCCCGTTCTCATGGCGCGGGGTGAGAGGAGGGGAGCCAGTCTATCCGCAGGTGCGCAACCACCGTCGCCTTCACCGCGAATCTGCACCAGTACTCGTTTTATCCACCCGGGATGGGTGCGTGATGGCTTTAGTCATCGCCTAAGCTACAAGACCCGCGCGCGGCGCGCTGAATTCGCACGCGAGGAATCCCCGCTGGAGGAGGGGGGGGGGGGCTCCCTTGGGAGGGGGCGGGGCGGGGCGGGGGGGGGCTGTTGTGAGGGGGGGGCGGGGGGGGCTGTTGTGAGGGTGCAGTGGAGAGGGAGAGAGAGAGAGGAATCGTTTGGAGCGGCCCCTTAACGATGTCCAAGAATTCTCACCTCGATGCCCCCCTCCCCACCGCTTCTCTAAATATAATATACATAAAGGTCCCCCCGGGTTAGGGCAAGTGCTCCCATGAAGGTCGGAGCGGCACACGAAAGGGGGGGGGTGGGTGGCCAGCACCACGCTCGGCCGCCTTTATCTCCCCAGTGGCGATGAGTCGACATAGGGGGGGGCCAGGGGCGGTTTGGAAAATCGTCACCGCTGTTGGTGGCCGTGAGCGGGAATCGAACTCGGGTCGCCGGGTTTCGTAGCGCAGCGCGTTAATTACCGCACCACCGCTCCCCTCCCACGACCACACACACACAGTGACCCCAATCCTGACTTTTAACCTCCTAGCACCGGATTAACCAATCCCAGCGATATGAACGAGAGCGGCTGACGTTCACCCACCCACCACCACCACAGGGGCCCTTACCTCACCATTGGTGGGGACTCTTAATTTGAAACTGGGAAACTCTGGCAACCCCCCCCCCCGGCTACACCAATCAGGCGTGTGCCCCCCCCCACCTGGCAACCCATCAGCCCCCCCCCTCCACTTCCCCTCTGTCACCGCTTGTGACGTAACCGCGAATGCCCGACGGGATTACGGTGCGGTAACTCGATTCAGCCACCAGCCGCCGTCATCCGTCGTCACGAGCCAGGGTCGATCCACCGCTGGGCTAGCACCATCACCGTGACCTTCAGAGAAAGTGATCAATATATTTCAATAAAACGGGCGACGTTTCGAGCAATGGCTCTAATTCAGTGCTGGGTTAAATGAATCGCCGCCTCTCGTGACGCCTGCGTGTCTGCTGTGCGTGTGACGTTTGTCCTCTGTCGTGTTTGCTCACCCACTCCCTCGTGCGCCGTGGCGGCCTTCACAGGTGCGACTCGCTAAGAGCCCTTGACCCAAAAGTATAGTGAGGCTAGACGGGGGAGCTTTGTCTTTGTGTGTGTGTAGTGGTTAGCGCGCTGTGCTGTGAACCCAGAGACTCGAGTTGGATTCCCGCTCGCGGCCAATACCAACGAAAATTACATGAAGCGGTCCTGAGCCTCCCCTAGGTCGACTCAGCCTCAAATAAACACCTGGTGCTGTGTGTCGTAAACATCGCCGCTTGGGAGACAAAGGCGGCCGGGCGTGGTGCTGGCCACCCCACCCCCTCGTGTGCCGTGCCGGCCTTCATAGGTGCTACTCGCTAACAGCACTTGCCCCAACAGTATGTTAAGGCTATTCGGGGGGCGGGGATCTTTATCTTTGTGTGTGTGTGTAGCCAAGCCACGCCAGCTTTATTTAATCTGTGCTCGCTAATCGCACAACGGGGCTTTATTTATTTATTAACGTCTGTAGCCCGGTGGATTTTGTCTTTGTAACGCTCTCAAACTCGAGTGCCCCGTCCGGTCCTCCGTCCATTCATAACTGGAGGTAGGAAGGGGGCAGAATGGGGGGGGGGGGGCGAGAGAAAGGGGGGGGGGCAGCGATATTCCTCGTAACGATAACCCAACGTGAAACCGGACTGGCATGCCTCGGGTTGTTGCTATCTTTGTGGACTCGCTAATCGATAACAACAACAACAACATCGCCCGAGATCTTGGTGAGACGTAAACTCGGGGAGGTCGTCACGATCGACGGCGTTTAGCAAACCTGCGAACAAGCGAGCTCGTTAGCGTCCATAGCTGCGGATTAAAAACAAATGTAAACCAACTCGCTGATGAGACGCTGCAGGCAGGGGTCCATGCGTGTGCATGGTTGTTCGTGAACTCGTTTTCGTGCGAGTAACGAGTGCGTGAGTGAACGGGTTTGTTTTGTGGGTGACGTGGAATGGATTTTATTAAGACAGCGCATCAAATCCCTGATCCCTCCTTCCCTCCGTGTCTTCCACCAAACCCCCACCCCTCACCTGGATCGCCCCTCACCTGGCCCACTCCTCACACCTCATTCCTCACCACCACCGCTCACCGTGCGCGCACACGCAAACTCATAACATGCACATACAAAACCATAATACACGCATGCACAATGGCGCGCGCACACACACCACATGAATGCATACCCATACACAACATAAAACCGTAACACAAACACACCTCCCATCTGCAATACAATCCACACCTTACCACAACTCCTTTCATTACACACTCACACACAAAGCCCATGCCACACACGCATCACCTTAACACAACACACACATCTCCCATCTCATACCCATTACCACACACACACACATCTCCCATCTCATACCCATTACCACACACACACACACCTCCCATCTCATACCCATTACCACACACACACACATCTCATACCCATTACCACACACACACATCTCCCATACTCACAATACATTCTACCACACACCCCACAAACGCCCCATCAACACCTCCACCCGCACCCGCCCTCAATCACCCCTCCCTGTACCCCCACCACCCTCAACCCCCCCCCCCACCTGTCCCCACTTAACAGCAGAAGCACCGCGCTAACTCAACGCGCCCGCAGGGCTCCACTGGCGGTGTCGGTGCCGGCGGCGGCGGCGGCGGCGTTGGTGGTAGCGCCCACTCGCTGCGGGAGTTCCTGCACGAACGTCTGGGCGACGTGGGGAAACATCTGCACGGCGAGGGAGGAGCAGCAGGAGGAGGAGACGGGGAGGGCGGAGGTCATCACAACGATAGCGACGGGCACCCTCACCACCACCAGCAGCAGCAGCAGCAGAGGATACGGCCAGAGTCCACTCTCACCTCCGTGCATCGCCTGCCGAATTTGGACAAAAGTAAGGAGACCGCTGGTGGCCGTGGTGGTGGCGCGGGCCACAGGGTAGGCGGCCGGGCGGCTGTCGTGGTGGGGGCGGCGGTGGCTGCGATGATGATGATGTCTGGGTTGCTCGCTTTGTAGCCGAGAATTTGGGACGTCAGCCGCTCGCCCATCCTCCATCCCGCCCGCTCGCCCGCCCGCTCGATCCATCGCTCGCTCGTCTCACGTTTCTCGCCCCTTCACGTGTCCGGTTCCGATGAGCGCCGAGCTCATTCGCTTTGCTCAAATGTCGGTGTGGAGGGTTCTCATTATTCTGCTTATTATTATTCTTCTTCTTCTTCTCGTGGGCCTGGTTGTTCCTCCTGGGGGTAGTGGGTGGGTGGGGGGTGGGGGGATTAGTGGTCGCAGTATCGCGTGGCGAAACCTCGAGAGGGCAAATTGCTCGACGCACGCTGTTGGAAGGACCGCGCAGCGTCGCTTGATATTTTGCGGTAAATCCTCGGGCAGATGGTCGGTGTCTCGTCTCTCGCTGCCAGACAGAGAGAGAGAGAGAGACACCCACCCCTCCCAAACCCTCCACTCCACGTGAACGAGAGACTTCCAGCGCTCCACTGCTCTCTCGCTTGCTAAGAGGGAAAGATGACCTGTCTTGCAAGCCCGATTTTATCGGACTTGCCACCGGGATGAGATATTCACGTGCCCTTTAGAGCGGTGGGCGGAATTGCCGCGGCGTATGCATGGGGCCTGGTGCTCAGAACGAAATGAGGAGGTGGTGGTGGTGGAGGCGGTGGAGGGGGTGGGGGCGTCCAATTACCTGCCCCCCCCCACCACCCCCCCCACACCCCCGCCCACCCCCCCACACCCCCGCCCCACCCCACCACCTCATTGCACCTCGGTACCTGGGCCCCACTCGGGTCTGTGAGTTCCTGGTGCAGTGGCATCACCTGCGATGCAAAATATTCGTATATTTTGCCAATTTATGAATGCATTTGGGACGCGGTGAGCCTCTGTGAGTGGAATTCCAGTTCTGCATTATGCGCAGTGGCTCAAAATTAAGTGTACTCCTCCTGCCTGGCTCGTTCCACGATTTATTTATTGCACTTTTTAATGATTTTGCTAACTATGAAAAACGATTGAAGACAAAATAAATAATGTAAGTCAAAACATTTTTTGTTGTTGTAAGAAAACTAATTTAAAATTCTTCGACCCCGAGGCACCTTTTAAAAAATTGCCATTCCTCAGCCGGCACCACTCCAACTGACTGCTGGACATCTGTGAGAAAGAGCTTAATAGCTCATCGGATTCCTCCAGGACGAATAAATATTACGACCATTCTGACTCGCAGAGTTACCGACGATCATCGATGAAAGTGAAAACGCGTGCCGCCCAAGAGGTTTCCGTGCGAATGTGACCCCTCGATTGATTTGTGGGCTGGACCACGAGGGCGATGGATCAGAGCACCACTCGGAAGACTCCGTTCACGGAGGGGTTAAAGTGCGTCATGGTCACCCGGGGAAGAGCGCGCGATGATTTGGACAATTCATTGCTTCGCGCGCTGCGCTGTGAACCCCAGTAACCGAGTTCGATTCCCACTCTCGGCCAACACCGGCGACGATTATCTGAACCGGTTCTGGGCCTCCCCTAGGTCGACTCGGCCTCAAATGAGTACCTGGTGCTGGTGTGCAAAACATTAGTACTGGGGAGACAAAGGCGGTCGGGCGTGGTGCTGAGCCCATCCCACCCACCACCTCCTCCACGTGTGCCGTGCCGGCCTTCATAGATGCTCGCTAACAGCACTTGCCCCAACAGTCTGTTAAGGCGACACGGGGGATCTTTGTCTTTGTGTGTGCTTGTGTGTGTACGTGTGGATACGTGTGGATACGTGTGTGTAGGTGTGCGTTTTTCACACTTTTTAAAAGGCTAACGCTAAATAAGAGACCAAACACTCCAATGCTAATTCAATATTTGTCCTATGACGATTTTACACATACACGATAATTTGCTTGGTTTTAAGAGTAGGCTTAAGAGAAACTAAGAGGTCTAGGATCTGGTTGGGTGGTGTAGCTAGTCCTGGGATCTGGTTGGGTGATGTAGCTAGGATCTGGTTGACTGGTGTGGCTAGTGCGAGGATCTGGTTGGCTTGATTGGTTAAGGCTCACCTAGCATCTGACCGGCTGCTCGGGTTACCGGTTTCGCCAAAATAATTTGCAGCGGCTACATTTTCCCCGATTGTGATTGGAGGAACAAAGGCGGCCGAGAAGGATAACAATAAAAAACCCAGCCGACTCAGATCGGCCGACGATTCATCGTCGCGGATAATGGCTCTCGCTTAACCGCCACGGCAGCTCAAAGGGCCCTGCAATCGCATCTCGCCTGCAACTATTCCAGTGCCATGCTGCAGTGTTAGGGCAAAAGGGGGCCCCCCCCCCCCCCCCCCCTGGGACCCACTGCCCCCCCCCCCCCCCCTGGTCCCCCCCTCCCGGGACCCACCTGCAGCACCGGCTTCCACGTGGGGTGTCATCTGCCGTGGGATTTCCCCCCACTTTAAATAATTTACGGGTCAGGGGGGTGAACATTTTGTAACAAAAAAAAAAAGTGGAATTTTGAAAACGAAATTTGGGAATGTGTTTACAACTTGAAAGAAATTTGCGAAAGTTTTTTTTTTTACGCGAGATTTTTTTTTTTACAACATAAAAATTATTGGGAATTAACACAAAAAAATGGGTTTTTTTTATCGGGGGGTGGGGAATAACGTCGCCAGCATTTTTCTGTGAACGGTCACCCCGGCCTGTGAAGCGGGCGGCGGAGTGTACCCCCCTTGGGGTTGATACGCACCGCGGTTTTAGCCGGCGGCGCGACCGCTGGGGTCGAACCCCACCACCACCACCACGGGGGGTAGGGGAACAACGGAAACCTCGCAACGCCACGTGTACAATAAATCTCGATTGTAATGATAATGTAACTTCGTTTATTCCACGTAACGTCAGAACGTCACGTCAGCGGTTACCCGATGTGCGATTTTAGTTTTCGTGTGGCACGGTCGTTTTTACGCAGCACTCTGTAGATTTGTCCGTGGTGTTTTCAGTGTTTGTGTGCGTGTGTGGGCTGTTGTTGTTGTTGTTGTTTTCTGGTGACGTCACGCACACACTCGCTGGGGTGTTCCGCGCGCTTGCGTGCGGTCGGTTACAATGCGCGGAGCGTTTCAGCTGGAGACGTCTTCATATATCGCTTGTGCTCTCTATATATACTGTGTATATATATAGATAGGAGGGTGACTTCTGAAACGGATTTCTTGAGCCACACAGCCGACGAGCGTTAACGCGCAGGCAATTCACCTGCTCGTTAACAACCCACCCGCGTTCAAGCGTAGGTAATGTCACGTGCTCGGACGCGTGCTTTACGGATTCGTGCTGGGCACCTTTCGTTCATTTGCCTGTTGCTGTTGTTTCCACGCGTTGCACTACCAAACACGGACACACACACACGCGTGTCGGACAGTCGATGAATTTCAGTTTATTTATATGATGATGATGATAGTAGTAGTAGATACTTGTTGTGTTGTTTTTTATTTAATTGATTATGTTTACCCGGCATGCACTATGTCGCTCTGCTGCACTGCTGCGTGCCGAGACCCACGGCTGCCGTTCGTACGACGAATCGCGCACAAGCCATGGCCGCTGATTTGCACGAGGTGCGTTGCTTTGTGACGTCACAATGGATTGAAAAGCACAAGGAGAGAGAGAGAGAGAGGAGGGGGGTGCGGTGTAAGGGGGGGGGGGCGAAACAAACAAATATTTATAAATTACGGTGGCGGTGGCGGTGACGCTTTTAGATGTTTGTGAATCTCGTGAGCGTTTCTCTATTTGTCATTTTACGAATCGTATTCGCGTTCTTCGCTGTCACGCAGCCGAGAGCGGCATTCATGTACGCTTACTTTTTTGCACGAATTTAATAAATTTTACATTTACAAAAGGACCCGATGACTGCTGTAATTAATTCTTACTCGGGCTGCCCTCCCCCCTCCCTTCCCTCCCCCCTCCTCCTTCTCCTCTTCGTCGTTTTGTCCTTTAACAAAACGAGGCATCAGGGGTTCCAACAAACCCATCCCTTCGCCACCAACCAAACCCCTCACACCCCACCACCCACCCACTCCCACCCCCTCCAAAAAAAGCCATGCATTTATTTTTCATCGCCCCCTCCCCCCCGAGCCTCGTTTCTCTCATCGGCGTTCTCCACCCAGCGTCCGAGTTGGCCTCGAGTTCGCAGACGTTTGGTGAAGGAAAGGAGGGAGAGGAGAGGTGGTGGGGAGGGGGTGGGGGTCCTTGCTACAACAAAATCTGGCGCGATTCCAACCATGCCCCCCCCCCTCCCTCCACCCCCGCGTTAAACTTTCACCTCGCACAGCCGATTTCATTTTCACGGTGCACAAGGGGCAAGCGGGAGGGGGGGGGCAGCATGAAACGTCGTCACCGCCGCCGCTAACCGGACACGTGATTTCTCTAAAGGGTACAAATTTCTGACGCTTTTGGGGACAACAATTTTTTTTGTTTGTTTCTTAACATTTTGTTTCCGCTCTCTCTCGCTCTCTCCCCTCTCTCTCTCTCGCACTTTCTGTGTAATATCGTCTAGCGAGGAGACGGGGAGAGAGAGACGGGGCCTTGACCGCGGGCTGGTGCCTTGCGATGTTTTTTGCCGCGAGAGGGGACAGCGGCGGATATAGGGGGTCCGATACCGTTGGCAGATTATTATTATATATTATATTTTATTTTTATTAGTCTTGATTTGAAGCTTTCGTGACTGCAGGAATAATACTCTTTGGTTCTTTCGGTAAAGTCACGTAGGTAGAAATAAAAGAAAATAAAACAAAATATTTCTACCTACGTGACTTTACCCAAAGAACCAAAGAGTATTATTATTATTTTCATTTCCGATTTTTAAAAACCACAACAACAAATGCAGGACTCGTTCTGCATGGCTGTGCGTAATGCGGATTTTGGCTGCGAAGAAATCGCAGCCCGATTCGACCGGCGGATTTTTTTATATTTTGGGGGTGCGGAGGGGGGAAGGATTGAACGCCGACACCAAACAATGGACACAATTTACGGAGTTGGTACCAAGATGGTGGTGGTGGTGATAGTGGTATGGGGAGCGGTGGCATAGTGGTTAGCGCTCCGCGCTCCGAATCCGGCGACCCGAGTTCGATTCCCGCTCATGGCCAACAGCGGTGACGATTATTATCTGAACCGGTTCTGGGCCTCCCCTAGGTCGACTCGGCCTCAAAGGAGTGTGTACCTGGTTTCGGCGATGTAAAAACAACGCCACTGGGGAGACGAAAGGCTGCTGGGGGTGGTGCAGGCCTACCCACCCCCTCCATCTGCCGTGCCGATCTTCATAGGTGCTCGCTAACAGCACTTGCCGCACAAGTCTGTTAAGGCTACACGGGGGATCTCTGTCTTTGGTAATGGTGGTGGTTTTGTGCTGGCGGAAGGGGCCCCCCTCTCTACAGTTGCCCACACTTTACCCCACCACATACTACCTGCCGATCATCGCCTAACCAACTTACACAGACAGGGGGGTTAATAAAGTCGCTCCATTGTTTCAACTCCAAGTCCAATGTGCTGACCATTACATCATGGCAGCCGCCTCCTCTTCCTCACACATACACACACACAAGACAAAGATCCCCCGTATAGTCTGTAACAGACCGTTGGGGCAAGTGCTGTTAGCGAGTAGCACCTCTAAAGGCCGGCACGGCACAAGACAAGGATGGGTGGCCAACACCACGCCCGACCGCCTTTGTCTCTCCCCGGCGGCGACACATTTTACACGCCGTGTCAAGGGAGTTAAAGGCGCAGCCCTGCAATTGCTAGCTCAACAGTTTTACAGAGAGCCCCCCCACCTCCCTCTTGAGTCCACGCTGACCAGTACGGCTCTAGAACACATTAAAGTTGACAAAGAGTTACCCACACTTAACCCCCCCCCCCCCCACCTGCCCACCACCACGTGCGACCTACCCATCGACTGGGAACGGAACCGCGGTGAAACCCACGTGGCACCCGCTGGTCGGGTCGGCGGCGGTGGCTTACGGAGACCTCGCGCCGTCGTTTCAGCAAATTGCCGCGTGACGTCGAGCAATCGAGCCGCTTGCGTCAGCCGCCTAGTCGCCCCCTTCTCTCTCTCCGTCGATGTCTACTGCTGGATGGAGGCCTCCCGCCGTACCGCTGTCGTTTGACCGCGACTCGCTACGCCGCTCCGTGTGTGCCGGGTTGGTGGAGGTGGGCAGCTGAGACGCGTGGAGGTGGTGGTGGTGCGGAGATAAGTTGCGGTACCACAAATGCTTGCCCGTTCGTGCGCTTACCGGGCACAAACCGACCGCTGCTTTGCTTCGGAAATCTTCCATAAGGGAGGGGTTTTTGTGTGTGTGTCTGTGTGTGGGTTAGATTGCGGAAATATATAAATGTTGTGTCGTTAAACCCGCCACCACCCGACACGGCCAATTCGTGAGGTTCGTCACGTAAACAGAACGTGCCGATTCGTTACGAGTACAGCACTAGTGTATAGTGTAGTGTAGAGTGTAGTGTATCGTGTAGTGTATAGTGTAGTGTATAGTAGTGTATAGTGTAGTATACTAGTACAGCACTAGTGTATAGTGTAGTGTATAGTGTAGTATACTAGTACAGCACACCGATTTGTTGGAGAGCCAAGCCACAACAATTACAATCCGAGTACGACGTTTCGCCGAGGTTCAACGACACATTTATACATTTACGCGATCTCACCCAAACAAACCGTGCATTATGGATGATATTAGTCGCGAAAGTCTACCGCGTGTTTAGCTTCGGAGGGATCTTCCCTGGCGGTGCAGAGTCGCTGTGACGGAACGTGACCCCCCCACACACACACACCCCACCCCAAGCGCACAATTCACTCGGGCACTCGGCCTCATGCGTGAGTCTTACCTCTCCCCCCTCTACCCCTACTCCCACCCATCTCCACCCTCTACCCCCCCCCCTGCCTCCACACTCATCCCCTCTCTTCTCCACTCCCATATCTCTTCCACCTTTCCCTCCATCCCCTACTGATCTCCCTTCTCCCTCCACCCTTATCTTGCCTCTGTCTCTCCCTTCACCCACTCTCTTCCCTTCTCGCTCCCCCACTTTCCTCTCCCCTCCCTCTCCTGCCTCTCGCCTTACCCCCTCTCCTCTCTCCCCCCTCTCCCCTTATATTTACTTTTCCCTCGGCGTTAAGCCCCCCCCCCCTTCTTTATCTCCATCTCCCCTCTATCCATATCCCCCGCTCCCTTCCATCTCCATCTCCCCTCTATCCCTCCCCTCTCCATCTCCCCTTACCCTCCCCTCCCCCTCCACTATCTCCCTCCCTCTCCACCCCCCTCCCCCCGCTCCTCCCGCTCCCCCTCCCTCCCCCCCATTGCAGTCGGGCCCCCCCCAATCCACCACGCGCCCGACGACTTCAAGGTGATGTTCCCGGCGCGCACCAACTACATGTTTGTGCGCGCCAAGCGCTCGCTGCCCGAGCTGCATGCGTTCACCATCTGCCTGTGGCTGCGATCGGGGGGCCCCAGCTCTGGGACCCCCTTCTCCTACGCCGTGGACGACCAGCCCAACGAGCTGGCGCTCATGGAGTGGGGAAACAACCCCATGGAGCTCATCATCAACGACAAGGTGGCAACTCCCGCCTCCCCCCCCCCTCGCACGTTCTGCTGCTGCTGCTGCGTTTGTGCAAACACCGGCCACCGCCGCCACCACCACTGCTACTGCCACCACCACCACTACTGCTACCATCACCGCCACCACCACCACCATTGCTACTACCACCATCGATGTTCCTGCCATCGCCGCCACTGCCACCATCGTCAACGCTGCCACGACTGCCACCACCGCCGCCACCTCCGCCGCCACCACTATTACTGCCATCACCACCACCGCCGCCGCCGCCACTGCCACCGCCACCCACCTCCACCACCACTACTGCTACCATCACCGCCACCACCACCACCATTGCTACTGCCATCACCGCCGCCACCACCACCGCCGCCACCACCACTGCCACCTCCACCACCACTATCACTGCCATCACCGCCACCGCCACCACTATTACTGCCATCACCACCGCCACCACCACCACTACTGCTACCATCACCGCCACCACCACCACCGTTGCTACTGCCACCACCGCCACCACCACCGCCGCCACCACCACTGCCACCTCCACCACCACCGCCATCACCACTATCACTGCCATTACCGCCACCGCCACCACTATTACTGCCATCACCACCGCCACCACCACACTCAACACCCCCTTTAGGCCCCCCCCCCCGCCGTCCCCATCACCTCCAATGAATTACGAGAGGCCGTGCGGTGCAAGTGTCAATTTACTCGCGAGAAAGAAATCGCTGTCCCATGCAATGCAATTTGCAGTAAAAAAGAACAAAAGGACAGCACACGCGGTCAGTTTGACAAGTCGCTGTCATCCATCACCGGGGTTCCCACCTGTCCGGGTTTGACCCGGACGGTCTGACAATTGGCTTCGTCTGCGTGCCGGTGGCAGCAGGGAATTGATTTTGGCGACGGAGATCTGCTACCGGCTGTCGCTGTCGTTGAACATCAATGCCCGGATATGTCGCAGCGCCGCTCTGACAACAGACCCCGGGCGCTGGGTGAGAAACGTGTCCGGGGATTTGATGGGCGGAGATAGGGAGAGGTCACGTGAGAGAGGAGAGGTCACGTGAGAGGAGAGGTTACGTGAGAGGAGAGGCCACGTGAGAGAAGAGAGGTCACGTGAGAGAGGAGAGGTCACGAGAGAGAGGTCATGAGAGAGAGGTCACGTGAAGAGAGGTCACGTGAGAGAGAGGGGAGGTCACGTGAGAGAGGTCACGTGAGAGAGGTCACATGAGAGGAGAGGTCACGTGAGAGGAGAGGTCACGAGGAGAGGTCACGTGAGATGAGAGGTCACGAGTAGAGGTCACGAGGAGAGGTCACGAGGAGAGGTCACGTGAGAGACGAGAGGTCACGTGAGAGAGGAGAGGTCACGTGACAGAGGAGAGGTCACGTGAGAGGAGAGGTCATGAGGAGAGGAGAGGTCACATGAGAGGAGAGGTCACGTGAGAGAGGAGAGGTCACGAGTGAGAGGAGAGGTCACGTGAGAGAGAAGAGGTCACGTGAGAGAGATTACGAGTGAGAGGAGAGGTCACGTGAGAGAGAGGAGAGGTCACGTGAGAGAGAGGAGAGATCACGTGAGAGAGAGGAGAGGTCACGTGAGAGAGAGGAGAGGTCACGTGAGAGGGGAGAGGTCACGTGAGAGAGAGGAGAGGTCACGTGAGAGAGAGGAGAGGTCACGTGAGAGGAGAGGTCACGTGAGAGAAGAGAGGCCACGTGAGAGGTCACGTGAGAAAAGAGAGGTCACGTGAGAGATGAGAGGCAAACGTCGGACGCAGTCTGCTGACACCTTCCCCCCCCCCCCCACTTGCGGCCCCCCCCCGGGTCACGCGACCCCTACACGGCGTGCCCCTCTGCTAAACGAGACAAACGCGGACGTCGCCTTAATGGCCTCGCTTCACATCGCTCCGTGCAAACGAAACGCCGTCAATTTGCTCGTTTCGTCTGCGCGTGCCACGGCGATGCACGGGGGGGGGTGGGGGCGACTCCAATTAGCCAAATGAGTTCCACCTTCACCTGACTCGCTCCCTTCTTAATAAAGCCCGGCCACTACGGCTGGCGGGGCGGGGGGGCAGCTTGGGGTGTGTGCGCGCCTTTTAGCGTTGGCGTTGCGTGCGGAGCGGTGAGCGCTACGCTGCGCTACGAACCCGGCGACCCGATGTAACAGCACTTGCCCCAACAATCCGTTAAGGCTATACGGGGGATCTTTGTCTTTGTATATGAGGAGCGGTGGTGTAGCGGTTAACGCGCCGCGCTACGAACCCGGCGACCCGATTTTCCACTCCCGCTCACGGCCAACACCGGTGACGATTATTTGAACCGGTCCTGGGCCTCCCCTAGGTCGACTCGGCCTCAAATGAGTAACTGGTGCGGTGTGTAGTAAACATCGCCACTGGGGAGACAAAGGCGGCCGGGCGTGGTGCTGGCCACCCACCCCCTCGTGTGCCGTGCCGGCCTTCATAGGCGACTCGCTAACAGCACTTGCCCCAACAGTCTGTAAAGGCTATACGGGGGATCTTTATCATTTAATGTTGACGTTCACTGAGTGGGAAGCATAGCTGGTACATCTGCCAGTGTCGTCACCAGGGCCCCTTGTGCCAGGCTAGGTGCACCGTGAGGTTCGTTGCTTGGCAGGAGGTCACAGGACAGACCCAAAGTGCCGTGGGTTCACTGACTCAGATGTCTGGCAAATGCACAACCCTGTGCTAAACCACCGTGGCATTTTGCTGCGTTTTATCCGCCCGGCACTTCGCTCGTTGTTGTGAGCATCGCTCCTCCGCCATATTCTGTTGCCCAGTAGCGTCCTTCACGAACCTCCTCCTCCTCCACAGATCTTGTCCACCACTGGTACCGGTCATCCTCCCACCCACACCTCCCCATGTAACCTGCTTGGCCAGGGATCGTTTTTGTTGATTGTTGTTGATTGTTGTTGTTGATTGTTGTTGTAACTTGCTGACAGCCCCCTAACTGGATATCTGTGAGGAGAGAGGACCGAGAGAGCTTAATAGCATATCAGATTTCTCCTCTACTCTACATGACGAACAGGACATCTTTGATAATTTATTTTCCGTAGTTTACAATTAAGATTTTTTAAAAAATTATTAGATGCACCTGCGATCCCTGATGTCAGGGGCAAGCGAACCCCTGCCTCCAGCCCCCTCCCCAAATGTAGAAGTCAAACTCCGCCTTCGATTCTAACGCACGCGCGCGTGCGCGTGCCACCGACTGCTGCTGTTGTTGTTGTCACGTGACACCGACTGTTGTTGTCACGTGCCTTAATCAAGTTGTCTTATGGTTGTTGTTGTTGTTGTTGTTTGACTTGCATCCCACTGGGATTTTTGCACACAGCGTTGGTGTACGGTGTTTTTTTCTGCAATATTTTTCTGTCTTTTGTTCGATTTTCTGTTTGCACTTAGTCACATATTCACTTTAAGATGTTTTTTGTTCATGTTTCCGTTTTTTGTTTGTTGCGGTTGCACCCGATTCAAGAGCCGAATGGCTCACAGGGCTATACCTCATAAATTAACTTGAAACTTGAAATGAACTTGAACCAACTGTTGTTGTTGTTGTTGTCACGTGACACCAACTGTTGTCGTTGTTGTCACGTGCCGCCGCAACCTCGTGGTTCACCGCCGTCCGTCCGTCCGCGCGCGCAGATCGCGCGGCTGCCCGTCAGCGTGAGCGACGGCCGCTGGCACCACCTGTGCGTCACGTGGAGCACTCGCGACGGCGTCTGGAAGGCGTTCCAGAACGGCGCCTACCGCGGCACCGGCGAAAACCTCGCGCCCTGGAGGCCCATAAAGGCCGGCGGCGTCCTCATCCTGGGCCAGGAGCAGGTGCGGTTGGGGGTGGGGGGTGGCGCGGGAGGTGGCTCGCACCTGAGGCTCGGGGTGGGTGGGTGGGTGGGGGGCTACGGAGAGAAGGAGGAATGGGATAGTGGGGGGGGGGGGGGAGAGTGCGTTTTATTCCGTACTGCGTTGTGGTTGACGTTCTTCACATTTGAGGGTTGGGTTACTCCCTCGCTCCTCCTCCGCTGATCTGGACCCTCTCTCTTCTACCTCTCTCTCTTTTCTACCTCTCTCTCTCTCTTCTACCACTCTCTCTCTCTCTCTTCACCCTCTCCACTGCCTATTCTTGTCTCTCTCTCCCTCCCCCACATCTCCCCCCCCATCTTTTCCATTCCCCATTCTCTCTCCTCCCCCACGTCTCTCTTTCCCCTCCATATCATCCCTTACCCCCCAATCCTCTCTCTCTCTCTATACCTTCCACCCCCTATTCTTATCTGCCCCGATATCTCTCCATCTCTGTTTCTCCCTCTCTCCCTCCATATCTGCCCCCTCCGTCTCATCCCTCACCCCCAATCCTCTCTCTCTCTATATACTCTCTACCCCCTCCCCCCACATTCTCATCTTCTGTGTTGTTAAACCCGCCACCACGGGACACAGCAAATCTGTAAGGTTTGTCACGTAAAACACAACGTGCCGATTCGTTACTAGTTGAGCGTGTTGGAGAGTGAACCCACTGCAACATCTGCATCTTGTGGGTTCACCACTGTTGGCACCGTGGTCGTGGCCTCTCTCCATGCCTGTCAACCCCCTTATCGGTGCCCTACCTTGTTACAGACCTTATCGGTGACTCCGTGCCCCTCTTATAAATCTCAACGTTCATCCTGCAAAGTCCCATCACAAGGGTAGAAGAAACACAATGTCGCCCGCATTGAAACGGCCGTACGCCGTATGGACCTGGAAACTCAATTTCCCTGCGCAAGAATTCGGGGTAAACCGTGCGTGTCGACGCTGCATGCGAATCTCTCGCTCTCTTTGCGTGCGCGCACCCCCGCGCAGGATGTGGTGGGCGGAAACTTCGACGCGACGCAGGCGTTCCTGGGCGAGATGGCGCAGTTCAACGTGTGGGATCGCGAGCTGCTGCCAGACGAAATCATGGAGCTGGCCACGTGCTCGCGCTCCTTTTCGGGGAATGTCGTCGCCTGGACCGAGGACGCCATCGACGTCCACGGAGGCCTCACCCACCACCCGTTCGGCCGCTGCTCCTCCGTGCTCTCCAACTTCTGACCCTACGACGACGACCTTTGACAATGGCCCATTGGTGATGACCCTTGATGATGCCCTTTGATGATGACCTTTGATAATGACCCATCACATTGACCCTCGATTATGACCTTTGATGATGATCAGCTCTGCTAATAACCTTTGATAATGACCCCCGATGATGGCCTTTGGTAATGACCTTTGATGATGACCTTTGATGACGACCAATCAGAATCGTCATTTAGACTGCACGAGGAATCCGATGAGATGCAAAGCTCTTTTTGTCACAGATGTCCAGTAGGAGAATGACCTGTTGATAATGACCTTTGACCCTGACAATCGACGTTCATGGAGGCCCCCGGCCCGCTCGGACGCTGCTCCGCAAGGCTGTCCTAACCCTTAATGCTGACCTTTCACGATGACCTTTGATGACCTTTTGACGAGCACCTCTTGAGCTGACGTTCGATGGCCTCCACTGCTGATCTCTGATGCTCACCTCCAAAGTTGACCTTTGGCATTCTTACTCTCGATAACGCCCTCCGATACCGACGATGAACGCTAACCGGTAGAGCTGACCCTTGCGGGTAACCATTGACAACTTCGATCGTGACCCACCACAATAGGGCGCTGACCTCCTGAGCTCGACGCTGAGCCACGCGACCTTAACATCGAGTCCTCACCGTCGTCCCGACCTCCGCCCCCGGACTTGAACCCCGTGAGCCTGACCATGCCCACCACTGCACCCGCCATAATTTTGACGCCGACCTCAGCCGCAACTTTGACATCTACCCCCCCCCCCCCAATTGACCGTGACCTTGACCTCGACATTTCCCCCACCCCCTCAACCCGCCCACATTTTTTCACACTGAACTCGACCAGACCCTGACCCTGAACTGACCTGACCTTGCCACAGAACGCCCCACCAACACCCCCCCCCCCCCCACCACCTCCACGCCGGCATCGGTTACAACCCTGACTCGCAACCCTGACCCCCTGACCTCGACGTCACCCTCGACCTCAACTCCCACCGCAACAACTCTTCCTCACCGACCGGGGCGGTGACGACGCCGTTGGGTTCGCCCTCCCGCCCTCGTCTCACGACTCCCCCGGCGCGGGGAGGCTCCCTCGCTACGCTGGGACGTCGCGCGCCCCAGGAGTCCCGGACGACGATCGCCCGCTCGATCGCGGTTAGGGAAAACACCGGCAGTGTGTATGCGCGCATGTGTGTGTGCGCGTGTATGCGCATGTATGCGCGTACGTACGGTTGAACTTTCTTTCGTTCGCACCGCACGTAGCCAACGGCGCCAATCGGAGGTAGCGGTGGTAGCGGATAACGCGCAAGCGTCCCTTAACGACTCGGGGGTCAGCGGCCCACTTGCTGTGCTGCTGCCGCTGCCGCCGGATGGCGCCGCCGAATGTTTGGTTTTCCCGCGCGCCGCACGTCGTCGTCGTCTTTTGCAACGTTCCACCAACGTCCGGCACCGTTGAGTTTGGAGAGAGATGTTTGGGTGGAGGGGGGGTGGAGGTGCCGGGCGCGGAGGAACTTCTCAAACGACGCGACGACTGTTCAGGCCGCTCGCTTGCAAGCGACAGATTTATTTCTTTTTTTTTCTTTTTTTCTTTCCCCGGGCAGCCCCAGCGGCATTCGTTTAAGGGAGCCAAAGCCCTGCTGATGAGACTCGGTCCGAGTGCTCATACCCCACCCTCGTTTCATATTTACAGAGCTCGCGCGCGCCTTGAGCTCAAGGCGCGCGCGCTCTCTGTAACGTAGTTGCACAACAAAAAACGTGAACAAACGAATCGAGTGATCGGGATGCAAGGGCCGAGTGAATGAGCGGCCGTAACAGAGGGCGCACGATAGGGCTATAGGGGAGGGACGGGAAGGAGCGGAGGGGCGAGGGGCGAGGAAAGATGGAAGGCCAGGGCAATGGAGAAGAGGCAATGGGGGCCGACTCACCGACTCACCGACTCACCGACACACCGACACACCGACACACCGACTCACAGACACACCGACTCACCGACTCACCAACACACCGACTCACCGACTCACCGTCCCACCGCTTTGTCTCCCAATTAAACAAATGCCGCTGGTACCAACGCCGACGTCGCTGAGATGCCACGTGGTCGACCGCGTGGCATTGTGGAGCGACGAACAACGCGCGGACGGACGATTGTTTGTTTCATTTCGGTCGGCGCGGCGTCCGACGTTTCGCCCCGCCCCCCCCGGCGCTGCTGCGGGGGGCGGTAAACGCGGACGGGGGAAACGCCGGGCGCTCGCCTGCCCAACGACACGGAGCGCGTCGGCAGAGCGAGAGCGCGCCGTGGAGCGCACGCCGGGGGGTTGCGTTCGGAGCCACCGGGTGTCCGTTCCGTTGTGTCACCGGACATCCGTACACGCGGCGATTTATCTATTGATTTAATAGTTATTTATTTATCTGTTTACTTATCTATTTATTTACCTATTTATTTATCTATTTATTCCCGTTCATTTGTGAATTTATTTCGCTCATTCCGGGAATCGCCGCCGCGGTGAAATGGTCAGCGCCACTCAGAATCAGAATATTGATTTACACCGGAGGAAGCTATAAAGCTCTTTTTCCACAGATGTCCGGTCGGGACCGGCTTGCGACCCCCCCCCCCTCCCCCCCCGGGGTTTCGTGCGGGGTTCGTGAGTCGATCTCCCGGCGCGGCAGTTGAGACGATGGCGCGTCACCGCCTCCGTTCAGCCGGCGGCATGAGCGGATGGGTTCGCCGCGGTTTGTCGCGCGGGTCGGGGCAAAAGTGTGGGTCACTCCCCACCTCCTTTGTCTACCCCCCCCTCCTCCTCCCCCTTACGTGGAAACGTCCGGCCGACGTTCAGCGAAAAAAGAGAGAGGGGGGGCGGGGGGGGGGCGCGTGGGAGGGAGAGGGTTGGCCCCGTCCAGTGAGCGGCAGTGGCGCGTGCGGCATGCGCTTGCATGGCTGCGTCTTTACCCTTTCGCCGCTCGCGTTCGTTCTGCTCGCTCGGAAGAGCTGGCAAAAGTGTGGGGGGAGGGGGGGGGGTTTGGCGGAGCGTAGACCCCCCCTCGCACGCGCCGGTCGACGATCGATTTGTCGAAAGGAAATATCTATGTATAAAATAATAATAATAACGATTTGGCTTTTCGTTCGTGGAGAAGCGAATGATTGACAGCAGTAGCAGTGGCCGCCTTAATGCACTCGTGGTTAGAAACAGCACCTTGCCCTCTGCCAGGGGGGCGGGCTACGAATGCTCGCGTAGCCCTCGCACTAACCTCCTCCTCTTGCATGGTTTTTATTTTTGTCCGGACACAACTTTCAAGCGACAAACTTTTGCACTTTTGCGGCGAATTGTTCCCCCTTATCGTCTGATTGGTTGGATTCGGTTTTTGTGGGGAGGGGGGAGAAGGGCAAGGGGAGGGGGGATAAGGGGCGGGGCGGGGGGTGTGACGGACGGAGACGAGTGACGTCGACGTCGTCGATTGTGACGTCGACATCGTCGATTGTGACGTCGTTTGGAAATGATTGTTTGAACCGTGAGCTTTGTTTAAAACGAAGCGGGGGGGGGGGGTTCGGCATTGTTTAAAAGTGGAGGGCCGTATCAAAACTCAGGGGCGGGTGGGGTGGTCGGGGGGGGGGGGGTTAGCGGCACGACACAGACAATGTAAAACAAATAAACTTTCAAAGAATCTCAAACGCAAAACGCGACGAGCCCAAGACAGATGCGTAGTGTTCCAAGGTGACGGGTGGGTGTGGGGGGCTCAAGGCCCCCCCCCCGTTACAGTCAAGCTGAACACATGCTGTTATAATATCTACAATATTTTACAGCAACGGTGACTTTATTTTATTATTTTGACGTCGCGGTGAAAATGTGTAAAGTTGAGCGCTGAATCCTTCTGGAGTGAGGGGGGGGGGGGCTCGGCCCGGCTTTAGCCATACCCCCCCCCTCCCCCACCCCTCCCCCACCCCTCCCCCACCCCTCCCCCACCCCTCCCCCACCCCTCTTCGTCACTTGCACAGCTGCTAAGCAATATCACTCGGCTCTATCGTCACGAATATCTGGCTCCCACCGCGGATTATTATTATTTGGGGGGGGGGGGGGGGGGCTGGGTCGGAAGAATACAAATCTAAAACGTCAAAGTTAACAAGAGCATTTCACAGCGGCTGCACAGACTGCAAAACGTGAATTGGTAAAGTGGGCGCGCGTCAAACCGCAGTTCATCGTGAACTGAGAATTGTTTACACTGCACGTGGGGAGGTGTCTTCTTGGTGGCCAAAGGCCTCGCGAGGGACGGCGAGAGAGAGGTGAAGCGAGGTGGAGCGAGATGGTGGAGTGGTGGGACGCCCGGTTAGCGCGGCCCCTTCTCAAACGTGAACTGGCGAGTGTTTTGATACAATAGTCCGAGTGCCGGTTGGGAGACGCGTCTTGGATTGGGTGGATCGTGGCATAGCTGGCAACCTTGCCGCACAACCACCATCCCACTCAGCGAGCCACGAGCGTTGCCACATCTCCAGGAATTCGCATCTCTCATCGGGTCGCAGCAGCAGCAGCAAGATATTCGCAACCGAGATGTGATACCGACCTCGCCGTGCTGAACTTTACCCGAGCTGATGCCACGCCGTTTTTTTTTATTGTGGGCCGATAGACCTCGCGCTGACCAAGAACATCTCTACGTTGTGTTTGGTCCGGGGGTCCAAAAAAAAAGCCAAAAGGGCGAGTGCATCATCTTCGTTCGCGCGTGCCGACCCCGCACACATCACAGAGGGCACGTCGGCCCGGTGACTCCCGAAGACGCGGTGACTTCTTGTCATCGCGAGGCCTCGCGAACGCGACGCGACTCAACCAAAACAAAGAAACAAAACAATCTCAGCTCGCGCACGGGAGAGAGTTTTCCTGGCCGTTGCAAGCGACCCCCCCCCCCCAGCCTCTCGGCGCGAGTTTCATTCGCGGAGGCTTAACGAGAAATAACCAATTCCGTCTGAAATGGAACGAAGTTTTTTTGTTGTTTAAGTTCGGGGCTCAGGCCGCGGCGATGCCATTGACTCGTCGTCCGGGATGTCCCTCGATCGACAAGACTCACGTGGGGGGGGCTACCCCTTCACTACCCCCCGCACCATCACCGCCCCCCCCCCCCCAATGTGCGGGATGTGGTGGGTGGGGGAGGCGTTAGCTATCTAGGGGTGTGCAGGCGGTGCAACTGCCCTGGCGAGAATTGGCCAGAGGAGCCGCCGCGGGGGGGGAGGGGGGGGGGAGTGCGCGGCTATCCTCCTTAGCAGGCGTCGGGATACAAAGACGGAGGTGTGTGGGGGGGGGGGGCAGCTGGATGTGGGGGGGGGGGAGTGGGGAGTGGAATTGAACAGGGGACCACATTTAATTTCTTGCACCGGAGCCCAAGCCGGCAGAGTAACTACGCAGCTGTGGTTAAATACGAACCGAGAAGCTTCCAGTTACAAGTTCTATACCCGATCCAGCTCTCGAAGAGCTCTCTCTAGAGCTGCCTCTGGTGGAGTCCTTCCGCCAGCAGTGGCGTGAGCAAGCAATTGCAGGGCTTGCGCCTTTACCGCGTTTTCTACTCACCCAAGGCGGTGCTGTAGCGATGCTCGTTTGTGTGTCGTTCTTGCGATAAATGTTGTTAACACACGCAAAAAAAAAAAAACACCAAAAAAAATAAACATGGTCCGTCACAGGGACTTTCCGTTACAGACCCCCCATCAAGTATTACGGACAGGGATTGCCACCTGCCCAGGTGCGAGTATTGGTCTT